GAACTTTTCGATTTTCATTTTTCCTTCGTCTGCAGCCATCACTTCGTATCTGATCTAACTTCTCTGCCGGATCGTTTCTGTAAATTTTGTGAACTACCTTGTTTAAGAACACGTAGGTAGATAAATTTGTAGCGCCGACAAATTTGACACTATTCCCGTTTTTCACTATTCACGGAATAGTAACCCACACCAAAAAAATTACAGAATTAACAATCTGGCTCTGATACCAGTTGTTGGGAAAAATACGCTGAAATTTCCATGAAGTCGGATCTATAAAAATGAAATAAAAATAAAATTTGGACACACCAAATTGATAACGGAGTTCGGCCAATAATGCCTACGTCTCCGGACTACTGCAGATATTTTATTGGGAAAAAGAAATACACTCGTGTTTACAAAACACTCTCAAAATCACTCACAACTCACAACACAAATACACACAGAAGCTAAATCTTTTATTAGCTCTTCCTCTCTCTCTTTTTCTCTTGTATTTTGTTGTTGTTTTAGTGTGTATTAAGCATCAGATTTGCTTCTCTATTTATAGGGGAAGATTGCACAATTATTCCACATCCGTGTGCTTAAATCCTTCAACAAAGTTGTGCTGATTTTGTTTTCAACCGGGCTGCTGAGCAATCATTTTTCTTATTTTGGTTGTTGTCAGAGAAAGTGGGCGCAGCCCCTTTTTGAATTAACACAGTGCTGGTGAAAACATTGGTTTCCTTTCGACTCCTTCCTTTTTTATTTTTTTTTTTTTCCTCGTACGTCCAAAATATTTTTTACACTTTTTTATATACAGATTCCATCATGGCCATTAGGCGGGCCATCCGGGCCGGGCCTGAAAACACTTACCCCAAACCGGCCCGAATGTAGGTACAGGCCGGTTCATCGGCCCGGCAATTTTAGACCGGTTCAAACTTGGTTTCGGGTCAAGTCGGTTGAGCTTGCACCGGTTTTGATCTGGGTCGGTTTTTATTTAAAAAATTTGAGAAAGGGTGTGGGGAGGGGGAGGTTTAAAAAATTAGATCTGAACTTGAACTTAGTTGACGTATTATAAGTTAAAATATCAATTACGTCAAAAATTTGGATTACAAAATGATATTTTAACTTGTAATATGTCAATTAAGTTGATTACGAATCTCTTACCTCGAGAGTCAAAGTCCTCGTAATTCTCTTACTATACTTACCTTGATAAAAGTAGATGACAGACAGGATTGAACCGACTGTCTAGTCCTCATAGTCGTATGTGTTGTAGTCCTCTTCATTTCCGGCGGTTCCACTAGTACTAGTGGTACTTTATTAAACTATGTGGTGTCCCACATCACAAATAATTTATTACATGCATTCACCAACCCAAAATTTTTTCGATATGCTCGAGGCTTATAAAACATACATGAATTAAAAAACACACATGTGGGCCACAATACTCGGATTTAAGAACACCTGCAAATAACTTATTTGCAATTATAATCTACTATGCGTTGCGCCTCTAAACAAATAAGTTACGTATGCACATAAGTCCTAATTCAAATAGTTCACAAAGACGAATTAAGGCTGGGATCTGACACCAATTGTTGGGTTCTATTACAACGTCGTCAATATGTTCATCGAAATCTAATAAATTAAATCATAACGCAACGAATCTATAGTTAGGATCATGACTTATGGTATAAATTTTTTTACGACTCTAAGACGTTTCTAATTTCATTGTTGGAGATCGTCTGAAGCTCAGAGTCTGTTGGGTTGTCGGACTAGTTTCGGGATCTTTGGCTCACGTGTTGTCCGCATGTGGGTCGCTGGCATGCGTCGTGTTGCAGGTCACGCGGTCGGGTCGTGCGTCACGTTGTTCGGGTTGCGCAGTCGCTGCTTTGCGCGATCGTTGGGAGCGGGCGTGCTGCAGAAAAGCGTCGTGCGATCGTTGCGTGTGTCACGCGGTTGCTAAGAGCATGCCCACTGTGGTTTAAAAAAAATTAGACTTGAGCTTAAATGACATATTATAAGGTAAAATATCAATTAAGTTTTAAAATTATTTGGGTTACAAAATGATATTTTAACTCGTAATATGTCAATTAAGTTGCTTATGTATCCCTTACCTTGGGAATCAAAATCCTCCTAGTTCTATTACTATACTTACCTTAATAAAAATAGATGGCAGACATGATTGAACCGACTGTCTAGTCCTTTTAGTCGTATGTGTTGTAGTCCTCTTCATTTCCGGCGGTTTCGCTAGTACTAGAAGTAACTTATTAGCTATGTGGTGTCCCAATGCGCGAATAATTTATTACAAGCAATCACCAACTTAAAAATTCCCCGACATGCTCAAGTCTTATAAAACATACATGAATTAAGAAACAAACATGCGGGCCACAATAGCCGGATTTAAGAACACCTGCAAACAACTTATTTGCAATTATAATCTACTATGTGTTGCGCTCGTACACAAATAATTCACGTATGTACATAAGTCCTAATTCAAATAGTGCACATTGAAGAATTAAGTTTGGGCTCTGATACCAATTGTTGGGTTCTATTAGGAACGTCGTCGATATTCACATCCTAATAAATTAAATCCCAATGCAACGAAATCTATAGTTAGGATAAGAACTTATGTTTTACAATTTTTGTCTGACTCTAAGACGTTTCTAATTTCCACTGTCGGAAATCATCTGAACCTAGAGTACGTTGGGTTTCTGGACTAGCTTCGGGATCGTCGGCTCACGTGTTGTCCGCGTGCGGGTCGTTGGTGTGTGTCGTGT